AAACGCTTTTGAAGCTGACCCTGTTTAATTGAACACTTTTCTTTGTAAGAGTTATCTCCCCAAACAGTTTTTTCTTGTTATGAGATCTCCTTTTCAACCGTAAAAGCGAGCCACAAATTTATTTTTCCAAATTGCTCGTTATATCCTCAGAATGTAACATTTTATTTTGTCCTAAGTCTTACGAAGACACCATATGAGAGTTATTCCCCTTTATGTATTTGAAATAAGTGATAGGTATTGGTCAACTAATAGAAAAATTAGGTCAGGGTCAATGGTCAAGTTGTAAATTTTAATTTTGGCTTGTTATTACTTGTTATCAGAATCCGTATAACATATCGACAAAATATTTTTACTAAATTGTTATATGCGACATGCCTTTACACATAAATTTTGGTTGAACGGGTACGTTGACATAAAATGGGAGTTTTCTCCCCTCTCATATCTAAAACTAGCTGTATGGTGATATCACTCATTAACCATATATAGTACAGACCTAGGGTCTTTTGATTTGAGGTCCTTAATTTATGACCTTGAAATTTAGGTCAAGGTCATAGGTAAATTTGATGTTCTAGATTTTGACCTTTGCTTTAACTTTCTATATGAAAATGATCAAGCCATAGAACTTCTTGCATTAGGTTGCAAGCCATATGACCTTGAAAAAGCCAACCAGAAGTGACTTTGTGTGAACCGGAAATGGCTATTTTTTGTACTTATTCGATGTAAAAATATATAGAACCATATATTTTGGAAATCAGTGTCAAGTAAACTATCATATTATACTGGAAGTGACATTTTTCAAACCGGAAGTAACAAATTATCTCCCTTATTTCAAATAAAAGTGTATTGAAACCATATATATTTGGAATCAGTGCAGTTAGCCATCATCTGACACTGGAAAGGAAATGACATTTTAAACTCGATTTTTATATTTTCTGATTAAAATACATGTTTTTTTTTGTTGGAAAGACCTTAAATTGTTCTCTGAACAATTTGTTTTTAATTATAGTTGAATTGTGTTCTTTTCTCCAGTTGGACTGATTATTAAAAAAAACTTTGTGAGGATCATGATTATTCATGAACCCAGCTTTTTTACTTAAGACTGACATGCTGAGCCAGATTTTGAATGTGCCAGTTCACAAGGTAATAAGCTGCAGGAAGACCTGTCACTCTAATGCCATTTTAAACTTGATCTCAATGTCGTCATCAGGAGAGACATATTCAACTTTGAAAAGAATTGTTTACGCAGTTCCTGATATCACACAAATTTATACACAAAGCACCATTTTCTATAAATCAAACACCATAATTCACGAACAACAAAGAAAAAATCTTCGATAAAAACATACTGGAAAACCATTTGGCAACGAGACTTGGAAAGGATTGGTTGAACAGTTCTGGTGTTGAGGCATGGCGAGGAAAAAGTGGCATTTTTCAATCAATTAAGAACCATAACTCCTGTTACATGGAAAAACTTATCAAAATTTGAATCAGCTCCAACTGGTACTTAGGACAATCTTGAACTTGTATTGCATCATGTTAAAGACTTTACTGTGCCTTTACAGATGAAGAACAGCAATAAAACAGCCATTTCTTTGTCAAGTTTATGTAGGGAATTGTGTCATGAAAAAAAACACCATATCCTTTCTTTTCTTTTCAGTACTATATAAATATGTTATTTTGAATTAACAATGCAATACAAAATTCTGTATTTTTGAATAACTATGATGTATAATACTACAGTCTGTGTTTAAGGTCATCTTATATTCAAATTGAACAATCACATAGTACTTTCAATCCTTACCTCTTACTGTCTTTCTATTTCCAAGTGTATAACACTGTGTGTACTGGTAGACCAGTTAAGTTGTTGGGTACTTGTCTTATGTCTTTAAATGCCAGCTCCTTAAGCTGCATTTTTTTATTAATTTTTTTTGAGGCAATAATAAATGACAATTATATAATCATGATACTCTCAGCATTTTATTTAGTCAACTTATTAGCACTGGTCCTCCAATAAATTAATGATTTTCTTTTTCCCTTGTAATGCACTATATTAACATAAAATTTCACTTATGAAAAAAAAAATTCAAAACTCATAAAAAACATGATAGATAAAAGAAGTGTGAATCACAACTCTTTGATTAATAAATAAGACTTTATGTTCATGTATAATGTAAATATATGTACAGGATATGTACATCATTGAATACCAGGAACTTGTACAGGATAATGAATATCAAGAACTTGTACAGGATAATGAATACCAAGAACTTGTACAGGATAATGAATACCAAGAACTTGTACAGGATAATGAATATCAAGAACTTGTACAGGATAATGAATATCAAGAACTTGTACAGAATAATGAATATCAAGAACTTGTACAGAATAATGAATACCAAGAACTTGTACAGAATAATGAATACCAAGAACTTGTACAGAATAATGAATACCAAGAACTTGTACAGAATAATGAATACCAAGAACTTGTACAGAACAATGAATACACACAACTTGTTTTACAACTGTGAGATCCGTCTTAACATTTACATAAAATCATTTTTCACACTGCAATAACCCCAGTATAATACTTGTGTACATTCAGTTTGGTAATTGGAACAAAGAACTCGATGTTAATATGAAATTGGTTACATGAACAGGCTTAATGTATTCAAACTTAACAAGAAGCACTAACAGTTGTGTAGCTGTGTAACAATTCAAATCCATTATGAATTACAATTATATCATTCACAAAATCCTCACTTATTAAGGTACATGTATTTGAATAATTAATTTAAATGTTTCAAAAATTAGATGAAAAAGTTTCAAAAAGTCTGTCCCTCACCACTATCACATATTATAAGATTATGTGGAACACAATTCTTCATAAACATCAACACATCTATAGAAGTTTCATTTGAAAATAATTGTGTATGCAAAATATTGTCAAAATGCACTCATGATAAAAAAATACATCTTTTAAATTATTTAATAATTATGTCAAACACAGATGCTCTTTTTATTTATCACTGGCATTTACAACATGGCCCTACCTAGAGTTTCATAATTCATGTGTTTTTCCAGCAATATGTTACTGCAGTTTTTTAAAACAATTTTGCCTGCTATACTTCACCCTCTTAGGGGTCTAATTTGAGAAAACATCCATAAATACAAAAATAATATTGCTGTTCACAATCTCCACTTATTAATCTACATATGAAAATAATATTAAGACTTCATACGATTGCACAGGTTTTGGTTTGGAATGTTTAATTTGGTACGTTTTATATCACTGTATTCAATCTAAAGGTTTCCTTTCTGTAGTCGACAGTCTGAACAGCATCCACATCTTGAAAATGTTTAAAATAAGATAATAGAGGGGCATAAAGGGGGGTATCTGCACGGAAGAACGCGAAATGATTGCCATTTCATGATGAACGAACAATTAAAAATTTCTGCACATTGATCTTTTTACCGATTTCACGAAACACAGTGAATAATGAACCTTTTTCACGGCTTCACGTGAAATAAAAATGGCAAAAAACATTGCACCAAAATAACCTTTTACCACCCTCATAATATTTTAGCATTCAACAACAGTTCTATCATGATGAGTATGACAAACATATCTCAAGTCCTGCTTTTGGAGGCCAAGGTCAATGCAATGTAAATGTTTGTCGTGTTTGAATTTTCATCTTTCTTAAGATATATTCATTCAAACAATGATCATCATAATGTATGATGATGGTATTTAATGTTTATTGTACCTCATGATGTACAGAGACACACTGAAGTTGATTCTTAATTCTGGGTGCTTAATGGAGAAGCATCAAATAACAATCTCAATCTCTTTAGCATGTTTATACATAAAACACCAGTTTGAAATAAATTGATAAAAACATTGCAGTTGGTTCTTGAAAAATGTCCAAATTTAAAATCTATACATTGGTTCCAAAAATTTACATATGAACTAGAATTTTATAACTGTTTTGTTTTTCCCTAAACCTGGTATAAACTCTCCTTTTTATTCTTTTGTTTGAATGTCAATCTTAATAGCCTTAGAAAATAAATCATACCTTTGTAATATTTATCCTTTCATTTCTTTATTGCCTTCAGTTAAAGTTACATTCATATAAATGATCAAATATTCCATTTTTTCAGGTGAGATAAATTTATCTGTGTTTGTTTAAATACATCATAGAAATAATATTTATCTGTGTTTGTTTAAATACATAAGTAAAAAAAAAACATTAGAATTTGTTCATATAATTAAGGGATCTTAAATATACTTAAATATAATTATATGAAATTGAGAATGGAGATGGGGAATGGCTGTTTAATAAGCCTTTATAGAATTGCTACTCCTTGAATCCAAATATTAAAATATATTCAATGCTGACAAAACACTACAACAATTCATTTATATTAGTGATTTATCACTGTTTTGAAGTTTTTTCCATTAGAAGTTTACCTTTTTTTTGAAATTTGAATTCTTTATGATTAGATATAAGAAGATGTGGTATGAGTGCCAATGAGACAACTCTCCATCCAAGTCAAAATTTATAAAAGTAAACCATTATAGGTCTTAGTATAAGTTATGAGTTATTCTTTTATTACACCAGCTTTTAATGTAAAAAGTAGAAAATGCAACTAACTAGAACTACCCATTCTTACTTTGTTTTAATGCAACGACACTGGCAACTCTCAATGTTGTATGATATCCGAGGAGTGAAATGACACGATTTCTTTCACATTTGAATTTTTTTTTATATTTGACTTGCAATTGCAAAATCATGAAATTTCATTGCAACCTATGTAATAAAATCTTTTAATGATGAGCTGGAAATAGATGACACTATCCCATTGATATAAAACTACTGGATAAGTTACTGATGTAAAAATGTTAGATGATGAGTAATGGACTACAGCAAATCTGTTAGTGACATTTAACACAATATTTAGTCAAATTTGACCTATAGAAGGAAAATACATGTACAAAAAAATGTACAACACAAGTTTTACTTCAAAATATAATATTTTAACACAAGTGAGTAAACAAATTGATATGCAGAATCATCTGTTAGTACAAAAATGACTCCTGACATCACTAAAAGTTAACTTAACAAATCAAAACCCCAAAGTTTATAGACACAATATTTTGATAAAATTTGCCTTAAGGAAACTTTGTTATATGTAAAGAAATTCATAGTGTAAAATCCTACGGTAGAAAAATGATTACATGTTCAGTCAGGAAACCAGCTAATACATGAACATGTTCATTGTGGCTTTACAAACCAAGAAAGCTATATACTGTATAAACTATTAAGTCTAATTTCTGTAATGCTACTAGTGTGTTAAATCTACAATACGGAACAAGTTCCTCTACAGCAAAGTCACAATAATTTACACTGATTAAAACTGAACACAGCACACAATATTTATAAATAGACTAGGATTTCCATGGAGAACTACCATGATTTGGTCGTATCATATCCAGCAAATATTGTCGTTGTAATTCGGAAGCTTTGCCACCAAATGGCATTTGATAGGGAAATCCACCACGTGCACCAAACGATGCCATGCCTAAAGGTTGACCCATCCGTAACGCTGTTTGATGTGCAGCTGCAGCCTGATGTGCCTGAATAAAGTTTTGATGTTGTCGGAGAGCTTCATTGTTGTTGGCATACTGTGAATGATTAGAACTTATTTGAGAGGTGTTATGAGAGGGTCTACTGTTAGATGGCGCTGACTGATTAGTATTACTACTTTGAGTGGCCTGCATTCTCTCAATCTCTTGTTCCTGTTGTAGGGCTTTGACAAATGCACTTTTCAGTCTATTTGTGTGCTCCTGTTTCAAAGCTTTCTTTTGATTAGTTGTAACACATTGTTCACATATAACATTTTTAGAGCCCGGTTTTTCTCGTTTCCAGACAGGAGTAAAGTCTGAGTTACATTGTACACATGTAAATGGATTACATATCAACTTTTCATCTGGATTTTTCTGTCCCTTAGAAATAAGATTAGCATCAATAATATAGTTAACTGCCTCCTCTAAACCTAACAGATATATAAAATCTGGACTTGCCAGACTTGGTATAAAGTTCATTTCAGGCGGTGGGGGTTTGGGAGGAGGTATTTGAAGCAATGTCTTTTCTAACTGTTTACGTAGTGCCATTTTAGCAGCAGCCTGTCTTTGTGCAGGTGTTTGATTATCAATAGGTGCAGATTGTTGAGGTGCTGATGGACTAGAACGGTAATTAGGAATATTTCCATTCATATATCCTGCCTCTGGCTGTCTACCCATGTTAACAAGTGGTGGGGGACCATGTTGATGTGCACGGTTATTATTTTGTTGACTATTTCTCATTAACTGAGGTGGTTGACTATGAGCAGGATGTGCTTGTTGTTGTTGTTGTTGTTGCTGTTGTTGTTGTGGTCCCCGTACTAATGGTGGAGGCTGTGAACTCTGTTTCTGTTGTTTTGCAGGTGCGTTCTGCTCTGCTATATGTGTCGTCTGACTTTGTCTTAATTTCTTTAAAAGAACTAATTTTGATTCTTCATTACGAAGTTCTGCCTGTAACTGTTTTATAAATCTTTTCCTCATTTTGACTTCCGATACAGTTATCTCATCAGAATGACCATTCATCATAGGCATTTCCTCTTCATCAGAGAGCATAATAATATCTCCACCATTTGACTTTGTGCTAAGATCCATTGCCACTTCTCCATTTTTTCGCCGATTTTCTTTTTCACTGTCTTCAGACTTAACAGTTGATGCATCATCATCTCCATCCTTTTTTGTTCCTGAATCACTTGCACTCTCGTCAGAAAATTTATCTTGGCTATTGTCTTCAGAAGCATCATCAAGTTTTGTCCTAAAAAAAGAAAATTATATGTTAGACCATTTTTATCTAAATATACATTAAATCTCAACCATTTTCCTCAATCTAAATTGTAGATCTGCAATTGATATTTCAGAGTTTCCACTATTTTTGCAACAAAAAATTCCAGAGGTTTTCCAAAATTTGCCCCCAGATGAACTGTTTATGACGTCCTTACACTAAATCCATTGGATGTGTAATGATTGATACTTTAGTTTGATAGACCATGATTTATTTATTGATTTTTTATTAGCTGTTATTTGCTTTGAACTACATGTAGCTTTCAGTAATTGCAAGTGCTCTTATTTCAGTGCTTTGTGTCTCTTGTTTTCATGTTAGTTGTTTTTGTGTCTAACACATGTTTTGGACATTTTTTGTCAAGCACTGTTGAAGTCGAGAAAAATTGGTGAAGCCCTAGCTAGAACTCTACAACATTTTCTCTACATAGTCCAAGTAAAATATATATATATAAAAAACGATCTTTTGAGTTAAGCCAATTGCAACTGATTTTTACAGTGTGTTCTTATGTTGTGCTGCATGTTGTTATACATGTAAATTAGGCAGTTTTCTCAATTGAGAATTGTTTCACTATTTCATGTCGGGGTCCTATATAGCAATCTATATATTTTCTCATTGTTGAAGGCAGTACGGTTGCCTATAATTGCTTTCATCCACTTCGTTTTAACTTTTGTGAATAGTTGTCTCATTGGGAATCATATCACATCTCCTTATTTTTCTACTTGTTTGAAGTACATGTATGTGTAATTGGAATAGATTTTTGAAATCCGGATAAAATTGCCTGCCTGCTTGCTCTAACATAACACTGTGACCTGGAGAGAAAGGAAAGTGGCACAATTCAGTTTAATAGTGTATGCTTACCAGTGCTATAAAGAAGAACAAGCCTATGCAGAAATTGAATATAAATAAATTATAAAATTGATGGAAATGAGAAATCTCATTAAGAAAATCTCTAGGTTAATAAAGAATCAGATTTAGCCATGGTTTATGACCCTCGTGAAAGGCCAACATCCCATGATAAATGACTCCTTGTAAATGGTCACCATCAATTTGATGGTGACCATTTCTCAGAGTATGATCCTGGATGTACTGTTCCTTTTTTAAATAGGTCCACCATTCTTCTCCAGTTTTTTAAGGTTGATGTTTGTTTGTTTTTTTAAAAAGGTTTTTTTTTGTCTCAGCGTGCTTGACTCATAAATTGGTGTGAATAGCCTTTGAAATGACACATTTTTTTACAGTTTTTGACTTGAGTAGGTAAGTACATTGTAGATGTTAGAACTAACAAATGAGGTTTGACTACTATTGACTTGTTCGAGTCAAATTGAGGCTAATTATATACAATGAAAGGAAAGGTAACACTTGCGTTAAACCATTACAACTTGCAGAAGTCTTTTCATGTTTTGATTTATTTGTGTCTGCATGCTGAGATTTGACTGATTTGTACAAAGTTGAGTCAATTGAAATAAATTTTACCGCTTAGAATCAGAGTCATAGCCATTTGTAACTGTATCTCCTGTTCCGTTATGCCCATAATCATCTTCTATATCCTTTGGATCACAATTGTCTTCTACGATTTCCTTCTGTTCACAATCTTCCTCCATATTTTCTTTTGAATCACAATAGTCTTCTAAACTTTCTTTGGGATCACAATCATCTTCTAAATTTTCTTTTGGGTCACAATCATCATTTATATTTTCTTTTGAATCACGATCTTCTAAATTTTCTTTTGGGTCACAAGCATCATCTATATTTTCTTTGGGATCACAATCTTCCTCCATATTTTCCTTTGGATCACAATCTTCCTCCATATTTTCTTTTGGATTACAATCCTTTTCCATATTTTCTTTGGGATCACAATCATCTTCCATATTTTCCATAATCTGTAAAATATATAAACATGATAAACAGAATTAAATTGATGAAAGATAGCTTAAATAAATGGGGAAGTGTCCATGGGACACAGATGATGCCCCCGCTTGCATTTAACGTTATAAAGGGACATAACTTAAGAACGGTAAAAGTGACACTACCCAAATTTTACTTGATCTGAGTTTTGTTGTAATAAGCATTGTGTATAAGTTTCATAACATTTGCTTGAGGCAAACTTGTTAGAAAACAAATAAATGGGGAATGTGTCCATGGGACGCAGTTGATGCCACCGCTTGCATATAACGTTATAAAGGGCCAAAACTCAAGAACTGTAAAAGTGACACTACCCAAATTTGAACTTGATCTGAGTTTTGTGGTAATAAGCAATGCTTTTTAAGTTTCATAACATTTAGTTGACGTAAACTTAAATTAGAGAACAGAAACGAAAAAGTCAGCTATTTTTCCATTTTTAAAGGGCATAACTCTAGAACAGTAGAAGTGCGCCAACAAAATTCAATCTTTATCTGTGTTTTGTGGTAATTAGCATTGTGCATAAGTTTCATAACATTTGGTTGAGGCAAACTAAAGTTAGAGAACAGAAACAAATATTTCAGCAATTTTGAGATTTGTAAAGGGGAATAACTCTAGAACGGTAAAAGTGACGCCAACAAAATTCAAACTTGATCTGTGTTTTGTGGTAATAAACATTGTGGATAAGTTTCATAACATTTGGTTGAGGAAAACTTAAGTTAGAGAACGGAAACCAATTTTGGGACGTACAGAAGGACAAGGGTAAAACTTAATGCCCCCTCCGCAATGGTGGGGGCATAAAAAACAATAAAATGCTCCGCTGGGGCGCAGCTTGATACGACCGCAGAGGTCGAACCCTGAACAGTTGGGGCAAGTATGGACACAACATTCAAGCTTGATACAGCACTGAATTTGGATTGTAATTAAATATTTGACACAGCATAGGTTTCTGACACAGAATGAAAGTGGTCTAAGAACTTAAAAATTTTCAATTTACCTATTCATACATGTGATGGACTGTGAAACTCAGATCAGGAGATTGGGAAATTTTGGTCAGGAGATTAGGACTCAGATCAGGAGGTTTTTAATCGACATTAATTTTGTTGTAAATGTAACCGTGTGCTGTAAAAATGGTCTTTTAAAGTGTGTTTTCTTCAACTTTCCATCCAATTTATTATGTTTATAGTACTCTTGTACTTATAAAGTTTCTCCATCTTTATATTCTACATGTTCAATCTAACATTGTATTTTTCCAGTATGTTCTTTAAATTTTTTACTTCATATTCTATAAAACAATCATTGCAACCAGAACATTTGTTTAGCTATCTGCAAATAGTTTTTATTTTTTTTTTTCTCTTGCAAATAGTTTTTATTTGCAAACTCAGAAAATCATACTATCTGTAAAATTTGGGTCATAGTTATTATATAAATTTCAATTTAAGCCTTGAAAGGAAATCTAGAATCCTCAAATAATTTTCAAATTATTATTTTTTTATTTGTCCTAAGACATTTAAAATCATTTAGTAACCATCCTTTTATGATTATTTGTTCAATTTATATTTTATTTATATTCTTTTAAAAATTTTCATTATTAAAAGGAAAGTAACTTAAAACAGGATAAATCAAGGGAAGTAACCCAATAAATACACAGTTTTTGTTACACAACGGCAGTTAGCCTGAGGTAAAAATCGTTGATTACCTGTATGTTTGACACCCAAGCTGACAAGTGAAGCCATATAATTATGCATGTTAATTGATTTACAGGTAAAATATAACTTCAGGTAATGTCAGTTACACCAGATGCCTGAGATGATATGTTGGGCAGAAATTTTTCATTCATGAAAAATTTCATACACGGGATTTTTTCCTCTTCAACGGGAGGTCGGGAGGAGACCCCTGAAAACGGGATTATTGTACTCCCATCGGGAGGTTCACATGTATGCCTATTCAAACCATATCATTATTATTTGCTTTTATATATAAATCAGAAATAACCAATTTAAAATGGAAAATGTTAAAGAAAAAAAAGGAAAAAAAAATCCCCCCCCCAATTTTTTGAACCCCCTTATGATTCATCACCCCCAAACTCAATCCCAGCTTTCCCTTTGTGGTATGGTACCTTGCAGTACAATTTCAGAGAGATTCATACACTTGAACACAAGTTATTGTCTGGAAACTAGAAAAATGCTTGTTTTTTGGCCCCTTTTTGGTCCCAAATTCCTAAACGTTTAGGGCAATTACCCCCAAACTCAATTCCAGCTTTCCCTTTGTGATATGGAACCTTGCAGTACAATTTCATAAAGATCCATACACTTACACACAAGTTATTATCCTGAAACTAGAAAAATGCATGTTTTTTTTGCCCTTTTATGGCCCCTAATTACTAAAATTTTGAGGGAAAACCCCCAAAATCAATCCCAGCCTTCCCTTTGTGATATGGAACCTTGTAGTACAATTTCATAAAGATCCATACACTTACAAACAAGTTATTGTCATGAAACTAGAAAAATGCTTGTTTTTTGCCCCTTTTTGGCCCCTAATTCCTAAAATTTGGAGGAAATTACCCCAAAAATCAATCCCAGTATTCCTTTTGTGATATGGAACCTTGTAGTACAATTTCATAAAGATCCATACACTTACAAACAAGATATTGTCATGGTCGTATAAAAATGCTTGTTTTTTGCCCCTTTTTGGCCCCCAATTCCTAAAATTTGGAGGCAATTACCCCCAAAATCAATCCCAGCATTCCCTTTGTGATATGGAACCTTGTGGTACAATGTCAGAGAGATCCATACACTTACACACAAGTTATGTCTGGAAGTTACAAAAATGCTTATTTTTGGCCCCTTTTGGCCCCTAATTCCTTAACTGTTAGTACCATAACCCCCAAAATCAATCCCCACCTTCCTTTTGTGGTATTGAACCTTATGGTAAAATTTCATTGAGATCCATTTACTTAAACTAAAGTTAGAGTGCGAAAACTAATGTGTATTTGGACGACGACGCCGGACGACGACGACGACGACGACGCCAACGTCATACCAATATACGACCACAAAAATTTTTTTGCGGTCGTATAAAAAATTCAGCAATTTTTCCATTTGTAAAGGGACATATCTCAATAACCGTAAAAGTGAGGCCACCAAAGTTCAAACTTGATCTGTGTTTTCTGGTAATACACATTGCACATAAGTTTCATAACATTTGTTTGAGGCAAACTAAAGTTAGAGAACAGGAACGAAAATTTCAGCAATTTTTCCATTTGTAAAGGGGCATAACTCTAGAATGGTAAAAGTGACGCTACCCAAATTCAAACTTGATCTGTGTTTTGTGGTAATAAGCATTGTGTATAAGTTTCATAACATTTGGTTGAGGCAAACTAAAGTTAGAGAACGGAAACCAATTTTGGGACGTACCTACGTACAGACGGACAAGGGTGAAACTGAATGCCCCCAACGCTACGGCGGGGGCATAAAAATGCCCAACCTCATACAAATTGTAGATGGCTGTTAACATTTATAGCAGCTCTCTTATACAAACTTCACCTTTCATTTAATACCTTTATAACCAATATACAGTATTCTACATCAGTCAGGGATATAACTCTTTAGGGTTATTACAGAAAAATAACATACATTTGTTATTGTGGACTAAAAAATCCAAGAACTGTGATAACATGTGTATGTTACATGTTTCAAAGGGACAATATACATCACTAGTTTAGTTAATATGCATACAAGTTCTATTGATATTACTATTGTCTTTATGTATACTTAACTATAGAAAGATATAACAGTTCATAGTTTGCCAATTTTGCATAGTACACCTATATGTTATTACAGAAAAAATGTTCCTATAATAACTAAAGGGTGTTATCACAGCTTCTCTATATCACTCCAAAGCATTTTCTCAGACATACATCATGCTTTATTACAATGTATTTTAATTTATTGTAAGAAATAATGACCAGAGCATGTAATGAGGTTCTGCGCAAGCTTCCCAGTAATTCCCAAGTGTCTCATATAGTAAGTTACATTCCTTTAATAACTAAGCTGTTATTACAGCTAAGTTTATCCCTAAAAAGCCTCGTTTCATTGATTTACCATGGTTAATCAAAAATGTATTAATTTAATTAAAAAATTAATTATCAAGGCTATGCATTTAGTTTCTGCGCAAAGTCTCAAGAGTTCCCTAGAGCCCATTATAAATTAAAATATTTTTGATTTATTTTACAAATAACAAACATATGTTATTGCAGATTTAGAAAATTTAAGGAATAAAGAGTAGACAACTCATGAAAGTATCTGTAATAACACACGCAAGTTATTTTCTGTAATATCCCTATAGAGTTATATCTCTGACTGTACATAGTTTGAAATTTACACCTATGCGTAGGACCAATTTTGTTTTTAATATGTACTTCTTTCTGGTATGTTCTTTTTTGGTGGCACGGTAGTATTTTCTGGCCCATAGGGATAATGATAGCCCTTTTAGAATTTTCATCACTTTCTAACACTGCCCAAAAACCTTCATACACAGTTAATTGAAGTACTTTCATTATAATACTCAGAAATGAATTTGAATACGTATGATGACTGTTTACTTTTTTTGCTATCTTCATAAACCCAAGTCCACTAGTGCTTTTAGGTCATTTTACTATGCAGTGAATACAAAATTAAACAAGCATTCTGAGAGTATTGCATCGCAATACATAGTCCCCTACCGGGTATAAATTCATTTTACTGGAACAAAATGCTAACTTGTTCTATAACTTGTCATGGTGTAAACAAAAAGTAAATATCATGTCAATATCTTCAAGCATGACTAAAAACAGTGTGGAAAACTGATTATATGAGTGAAAAAAACATTAGAAATGATTAATAGTTCTCTTAAATTAGATATGATGTAATACAGTGTATATCTATTTTCAAATTATAATCAATTATAATTAATAGTTCCAAATATTTTTTCTTTCATTTGTCACAAACTAATATAGATTTGTAACTTATCTATAAAATGTCAACAACTTTTATCTACACAATGTAATGTATTGAAATATATACATTAATAAAGATAAATTATTATCTAATTAAAGGATTTCTCTTCATAATTTTTTTTATATGTATAGCATTCAGAAAATTAGTTTATACTAAATAACAAACATAGTACTCTAACATTAGATATGGTCCAGAGTTATGGTCCATAACTCTGGACTAAATCATCAGACCAGAACAAAATTCGAACTTGATCTATAACTTGTCATGATAAAACTATATACCAAATTATCAAATCAATATCTTCAAGAACGAAGAAAAAAAGTGTGGAAAGCTGATTTGCCGGACTGACGGATGGACAGACGGACGGAGTGCAAACCTAAAGTCCCCTTCGACTTCGTCGGTAGGGGACTAATAAAATGCTCAAAAATTCATTTTCTCTAGCTGTATGTAAAATTATTTCATATTTTTCTAGACCTGAATCATCTCTTAGCTTGGGAAAGTATGTTCAGTAGATACTGTACTTTTTGTCAAATCACAGTGTTCAGATACATGACTTAAGTAGGGTACACAAAAGAGCAACCTAAATTCTGGAATGTAAATACTACCGTGCCACCTTTTACTGTGCCCAAGTTGGTGATGTTACTTCTTACAAAGTCTGCCCGAATTATTTGCCCTATACATACGGTATTTCCTGCCAAGTTATCTAACATATATCTTGATGTGCCCCGTGGTTGTATAAATCTTCATATTGTTTTTGCATGCTTCAGTGTGATTGTTAGGCTAAATTATATCAGTAAATGTTTGATTTCTGTCAGATTTTTTTTTATTGATATTACTCTATGGCTTTGTTCCTCAATTATCAATTGTGGTGTGATCATTAGTTTGCAAAGAATTTCGCTCAAACCGCAGGGAGGTGAGAGTTTTTGCTCAGTGTTGAAGGCCTCACTGTGACTTTGAGATGGAGAACAGCAATAAATTTGCTTTATTTGTTTTTTGCTGTGCATGTAACACTTTTGTTTCATAGATAGATACCCCATATCCTTTCTTTTCTATCAAATCTATGTCTTACAAATATATTTATCCTTTGATGCTTTAACCCCTCTTGCTAATGTCAAGTGATCATTGTGCAACAGTGTGAGTATCACATTAATAAATACTGATTGCCATCAACAATTACAGTGATTTAACATCGTAAACATGCGGTCGTATAAAAATTAAACAAATTAATCTAAGTTCATTCATGCATATAAGGTTCAAAATTTTTAAATAAAGGTTCCCTTCGAAATTCCTCAGCATTAACACTTCCACTAAAGCCTTTAAACTTTAACAGCAAGCACAACAGACCATCAAATTTTGTTTACATCAAATCTGGAAGTGATACCTTTCAAACTACAATGTAGAAGAAACTGTAACAATATGAACTATTTTCAATTTTAGATGAGTATCAAAAAAGGCTTAGATATTTGATATAAAAAAAGGTAGAAATTCTTTATCTTACTCTATAATTCTATAAGGGGGAGCTGTTGTTTGTTTTTGACAGCTGTTCACTTGGCAGCTAGAGCTAAAATGTGTTATTCAATCTGTTGGACTTGTATGTTATATTTATTTCTAATAGTTTGTCGCTTAATTTTCTTACTAATTGACTCCGTGTTCCAACTTGGTCGTTTTCACAGGGCGGTCCCCCTGCCCTTGCCCCAGTCCCGCCCTGTGCCCTTTTTCTGACGCCCTGCCCTTTTTCACAAGTCCATGCCTTTATTGTTGTAATATTTTGATGAAAAGACTGTCTTCATATTTATGACAAGTTTATGACCCTCAGCTAATTAACATTTACAGCAGGTGTAATAAGTTGTGATTACAGATAATCCGCTTATCGCCAAAAATGGGTCATTAATCTGTTAATTAAACCTCATAATTGACCATTGTAATTATTTTTCCCATTAAATTCGGTCAGTCAATTTTCATCTAGCGTAAAAGTGACTAATCCCCTAAAAACTCCTAGCTGAAACCCCTGCAGTTTACATATGACAATGTTTGACATGCCCTTTTTGAAATATCAATCATCATGCTAAAGTGCCCTTTTCATGATTGGCTCCCTGCCCTTTTGAAATCCTAGCTGGAACACTGTGACTGCTAGTTATATTATTAATCTTGTTCTGTAAATATATTTGTTTGAATGCCTTTAATGTTACTTGTGCCTTAATAAAATTGAGTACTCAGTAACTTTTGAATTCGTTTGTGAGAGGCCTGGTAATTTATAACTGATCTGCATGAATTGATTTTAAATTTAAGTATAACAAAATGTTATGCATGTCTAAAAAAAGGTGATTCTTAGCGTAAATGTTTTGGAACTGACAATACAAATTTGATGTTAAGCAATACTTTTTTGAAGGGTCAGTCCAGCATGCAGCCCCTTAAGCAGCAAACACTTCTTTTGAACAGGTTGGGGACAACCAGCCAAATGGGGAACTATTCTGCAAATGAGTAAAAATTCATCATTTGAGTAATCATTTAATAAGCCTAAAAACAAAATTTTCATTACTGGGTCTTTTTACTTAAATTAATTTATTCAAATAATTTATACTATACAACAATTTAAGACAACAAAATGAAATAAAATTCAGGGCAAACGGACCTAGGGCGAATAGGTACTAGATCTAATGTGAATAACGGCAAACGGACCCAGATTCAGGAATACGCCAGTTCCAGGATACGGTAGTTAGTTGAATCTGTCATGTGACTTCCATCACCATGTGACCAAAATGTAGGCATCGTCACTTCCAACACATGTAGAGCGAATGGGGGAAAAAGTTTGATCTTATACTGCACAAATTATTTAGGAAATTAAAAACTTATAAGTTGGTCACCCTCCCTTCAGTCTTATGGGAATTAAGATGACGTACTTAAGGAACATAAATTATTTCTAGACTACCCTGCAGAATAACGATTCTGAAAGTGCTTGAAACTTTAAAAGAGCAGGGATACAGGATCTGGTAAATGACGTCATAAACAGGTTGGGAACAAACCCTCTACATGGTGTTTTTACCTGTATAGAGGGATAATCCTTCTATAGAGGGATAAAACTATCTCTCTATAGAGGGGTATTTTTGTTTAGACTGGATTTAAAGCAAAATAGGGCAGATTGGCATTTTCTAGTTATATTGGCTATAATCTATAGCATGGTATACATCAATAAATGCACTTTATTAAAAATTGGGATGCCCAGTTTTTTGCTAAAGTGGCAGAACTTGAAATCTATTGTATAGCTATCTGAACACCTGATCAACAACAAAAGGGACAGTTCACCTTTAAATTTTATGTTACATCTAACAATAGAAATTCTGTTCAGTGAGGCATAACTGAGTAGAATTTACCTGATCATCACAGCTTTTAATTATGGTGAACAATAGATTGTATATTCAGTCAGTTTAGCAGTAAACTGGGCATGTACAAATTAAATTAAGTACATCAATTGATGCATACAATGCTATAGATTATAGCCAATATAACTAGAAAATGCCAATCTGCCCTATTTTGCTTTAAATCCAGTATAAACAAAAATACCCCTCTATAGAGGGATAATTTTATCCCTCTATAGAAGGATTATCACTCTATACAGGTAAAAACACCATGTAGACGGTTTGTTCCCAACCTGATAAAGGCGTGCGAAATTGACGATCTTTTCCGGTGAAAAACATGATTCCAGAATTAGCCTATAGTTCCCCATTTCAATCCATATTGAATTTTTGTGTTTTGTATAATTTGTGCTTGTATTGGAATTGCAAAAATAAAATTATTTGTATTATGTATTTGGCGGGTTGTCCCCGACCTGTTGAACAGGCCAGATTTCCTGAATTTTCTGGTGCAAGCAGTTAAGAATGTGCAATCATGTAGTGAAATTTAAATAAAAAGCATGTCTTGTGTACATGTGAACTGCACACATTATAATGAAAATTTATTGGAGTGTTCGCCATATTATTATTGTTCTCTAGTCGGAATAACGTTGAAGAGATTCTTTATCAAAGCCAGAATTGCGTTGAAACGATATTGTACGAGCTAATCATTATTAAAATCGTCTAAGGTTGCAAATTAAAAAAAAAAATGTGCTAAATTAAATTTCCTCGATGCACTTCCGGTTTGCAGTTTCTATTTGATCCGCCATAGTTTAAAACATATCTTCTATTTCTATTTGTTTTATAGATATATTGACCAACTGACATCGTGTAATCAAGTTATTAAGTCTTACATGATAGTTGACACCAATATTTCAAGTACTTTACATGTATGACAAAAGAGGGGGGTGCGTTCACATTATTTAAATCTTTTTATAATCGCATTTTTAATTGCCATTGTTAAATACATCTATCGTCAGATTATGTTAATGCAACCTGAACTTACTGTCAATCAACTTCTTTGCAAAAATAAAACCCTTAAAGTCAAGATCGATAATTGTCTTCTTTGTCCACTACTACTTTCACTCCATCCTCTTTATCCAAAGATGGCATCCAATCACTTTGGGGTTTACTGATAGTGTAACAAGGAGCAAACAAACAAATTGTTGACAGATAAACAACACTCTCGTAATGATTGGATTGAGAAGGTCACGTGATTCTTTGAGGAACCTGCGAACATGCTTTATGTGGCAATACTCCAGTGACCCTCTGGTTAAAAATAGACACACATCTCTTTTCACACATTGGTATGCCAATCAATAAATCAAACACCTTGAATCAATTTTTAAGTTAAATTATTTTCCAAGTTAGAAAATTTCAAATAGAATTAGTCAAAGCTTTTAAAAAGTAAAATTTTCTGCTAAAATCAGTCTGCATTTAAAAATCGATATCAAGATATTTTTAGATCAATTTATGTTATTACTTATCTTATCCGCAGTTACAATGGCGACTTTGTCATGCACTAGTGGTGAAGACCTAATTAAATAAAATAATTCGTTAAGGGGAAAAACTTTATTTTCGACAATTTTTCAACAACAAAAAGAACGATGTAAAAGACAAAATTAAAAAGTAACAAAAACAATATGTTTTATCTTTAATAATTTGACGATTTGATTATCATTAGCAATACACTTCAGTCTGACAGTCAAAAATCACCTGCAATCATTAACAAAAAGAGAGACACGTCGGATCATACAGCAAACTAATACCGTTAGGTTGTATTTTATATTTTTATTCAGTGAAATAAATCATAAATAGAATCGATAATTACTGCAATAAGATCTAGGTATAGAGGCGGGAAATGTACATAATCAGACTGCATAACGTTAAGTTTGGACTTGTTTGGTCGGATCATCAAGTTACCATTTGCAGCCTACTAAATTTGGATGATACAAAACACATGCGATATTACTATTGAAGACGCTATTCATTTGTTTTTACAGTTCCATGGCATTTGAAAATGGCAAAATTTCAAAGGAGTAGGGCTAACTTTCCCTGAGTTTTATTTCATTTTTTTTCTTATCAAATTCTTTCAATCTTTGTATAAATTCATAAAATCACAACCTAATGTGTACACTTTAAAGTTATCACAATATTATGGCTTATTTCCAAACGGGTCGTCCAAATATAAGCGTCTAAAGAAAGCCCAAGACAACAATTCTTGAGATATTTTGTCAAATTTTGAATAAGTACTAGTATTAATCCAAAAACAGTATGTGCAAGAAGTGCAATGGTTTACCAAAACCAAAATTAGGTTGGAAGAACAGCTATATATTGTCCTTTGGATGCAAATTGATTCATTTTTGTTAACGATGTCCCACAATGCTTTCCAATTTTGTATCAAAATCGCCGTCAACACCAACATGTAGCGTCAAATAACTTTAAGATTTTTAGGAAATAGGAAAAGGTTTATACATCTATGGATAAATTGTGAAATGATACTTTTAGGCAAATGATATAAACTCTTTCTATTTCCTGTACGATTTGACATTATTTGGATGTTAACCCTGTGATTGAAACAAAAACAGGGGAAAGTTATGGCAAGCCGTTTTACTATTTATTCTAACTTCAGGATATCTCATATAATATATAAGATATCTCATATAATATATAAGATATCTCATATAATATATAAGATATCTCATATAATATATAAGATATCTCATATAATATATAAGATATCTTATATAATCTAGTTTTTATAAGATATCTTATAAACTTTATAAGATATCTTATAAACTAAAAAAAACTTATTGCAATCTTATCAAAAATTCAAAATGTTTGAAAAATATATATTTGGAATATACATATATGCAAATTTTTTTTATGCATTATATAATACATGTATTCAACAAATCCTTAATTAAGCAACTATATATTCAGCTATACATTCATTTACTGACCATTCATATCACCGTTATATTTTTCATATGTTGTTTCGATGTCTGTTATACCTGTTCAAGACCATATGAGTATTTGGACCGTATGCGGATACTCGTACGGTCCGACCATACGCATACGGTCGGACCATATGAGTATACCCATACGGTCTAGGACGAACTGGACCATACATATGTATTAGGACCATATGGGTTAATTTTAGACAAACATTTATCAAAATCTTTTATTGAATTTAACAAATTAATATTATTACAATTAGATGAATGAAGTGAAATAGTGAGCATTCAATCAATTTAGATTAAGTATTTATTTACTTGTCTATCTGAATCCTATTTTGGCACTCTCACCCAGGGTGACACTTTCTTCCACAAAGAACGCCAGGATTTTTATATTTACATGTTTTGTTCATGCATGTTCCATTGCCAACAAGAGAAAAGATAGCTAGTTTTGCGGCAGCCGATGCAGATCCTTCTGTTTTCCAATGTGCAGTTTCAATTTTGAATGTCAAACACGTATTAAGTTCTCCAAACGTCAATTGGCTCGATGAAGGCTATAATACAGAAAACCGTTTCTTCACGTACTCATTACCCAGAAAAACTGGACCGAGTCTTGCGATATCACCAAACAACTCCACAAGCTAAACAGTCTGCTTTACTGACCAAGATGAAAGAAGACGACATTTTATTCTTGTAGTATATTGTATTGGACCAGTTTAATTATATCCAAAGAAGTGTTTTTGGGTATATTGGTTTAATTAACTCAGCACGTCCTCCCGTGCGTCCCTTTGTCCGTAGCAAACTTCCGTCGATATTTTCTCAGCAATTATAATGCCTATTTTCTTGATATTTTGCTTCATATTGGTAAGCTATACAGTTTGACACATGTATTTGTAGATCCGTCATTTATCTAAGCTATACAGTTTGACACATGTATTTTCAGATCCGTCACTTACCTAAGCTATACAGTTTGACACATGCATTTTTAGATCCGTCACTTATCTAAGCTATACAGTTTGACACATGCTTTTTCAGATCCGTCACTTATCTAAGCTATACAGTTTGACACATGCATTTTCAGATCCGTCACTTATCTAAGCTATACAGTTTGACACATGCATTTTCAGATCCGTCACTTATCTAAGCTATACAGTTTGACACATGTATTTTCAGATCCGTCACTTATCTAAGCTATACAGTTTGACACATGCATTTTCAGATCCGTCACTTATCGATTTTGTTTGTTTGCCTCATACATGTATGTTCTTAACATTGATGTACTGGTATGTATAATTTTCGTCAGATTTTTTCTTATCAACTAAGCATCAGTAATTCTCTATATTTGGAATCATATACTTTTAGATCTGTCATTTGTATTCTGTCTGTTTGCCGCATATATATAGTTTACATGTATATAAAATAAGAAGATGTGATATGAGCCAATAAGACAATTATTCAGCAGAGGCCAAGTGATGTTGATGTTAGCAACTATAGGTCGCCGTATGGCCTTCAACAATGAGAAAAACCCACACCGCATAACAAGCTATAAAAGGACCCGATGTAACAAAATGTCAACCATTTTAATAGAGAAAAAAAACCGGCCTGATTTGTGTACAAAATAACAAACGAAAAACAAATATGATATACAGTAACAAACGACAACCACTGAATTACAGGCTCCTCCTGACTTGGAATAGCACATACAGAATGTTTGCCGGCGTCTAACACTCCCCCAACCCAGGGCAGCGGTGTAACACCACATCATAATAACTCTTCAGATCGACACAAAGCAAAACAAACAAATAACAAAAACACTATTGCGATACAAAGTACCGATCTGAGAGTACTCTCTGTTACTGAAAGCTAGTTCCAAGCCAATAATCACTTATAAAAGAATCATGTATCCAAGACAAAAAATCAATCAGGATACATCCAATGGATTTTGTATAAAGAAATCATAAACAGTCTAGGAAAACATGAGTTTGTGCGAATGCCAAAACATAAGTATCGATAGAATGTAGAACCATAAGCGTTGATAACTGTATAGCAGTACATAATTAGTTATGTTTTAATTTATTGTAAGAATATCAATTTAAAGTACAGATGAAAACAATATTGAAAGATCTAATTATAATGTTAAATTGATATCCTTTGAGAATAAGTTTATTCCAATGATCGATAAGCATACACATATACGCGCATGGATTGTATTTAAAATTACGGGCTCAACATCACCGTAAAATTAGGATTTGCTATCCCGTTAGTTATAAGTTTTATACATGTACAACCAAACTTCCTAACAAAATCTTTGTATCTATATTAAAGATTTTCGTAAAGATTTAAAGTAATTTATGGTAACGAAATCACTGACTTAATAATTTATACCAATGATACACTTATTATGTTCATTAATATCTATAACGTCACTGACACTACAGATTCGCATAGCGAATGGGTTGGGGTAGAAATCTAACGTGGGGTACCCAAATTGCACCTATTTTGACTGTTTTTTCACATACGTTTTTTTATGATCCAGACAAAAGTTTCCATTTTGTGTTTATTTTGTATATGTATCCTTATTTACTATATAGTCCCACCAATTTAATTTTAATCCATATTGAATCATAGAAAAATGGGTTTTAACTGACCTCCAAACGACCCATGATTCTGTAATGAGGAGTACCCAAATTGCATCCATGCTTAAATTCACGTCCGTAAAAATCTAATAACTGATGTTTTGTACGATTTCTTCAAATATTTAGAACAAATTGACAATGGCCCATGCTTACTATTCATTTTTTAAGGAATGGTTGCCTGTAACATATTGTATTTGCTCATTTTAAAAGATGACTTTTTACGGACGTCGCATGGCGACATTTTCGTAGATTTTACTTTTTCCAGTAAACACTTCATCTGTTGATATATACTGTGAACGTTCTGTGAATATTTAAAAATATTTACCTGTTTGAAAGACGTGCATAATGTCAAATGATAAAAAAACATAAATTGTTTTGTCCATAAGAAAACTTGTAAGATTTTCGCTGCTAATATTGCTAAATAGGTGCAATTTGGGTACTGTGACGTTATATAAACACTGAAGATGGAACCAAAGGGACATTACAGTCCAAAAAAGGAAAATTAACAATAGAGAACGACAATATTAGTATAGAGTTTCCCGTGAAACTGAAATATATAAAGATAGGACTGGAAGTTATTGCTG